GATATTAACAAGCTACAACAAGCTATAAATGCAACCAGGGGCATGTATGGTTAGAGGATGACATGTAGATCAAAACATGTTTATATAACATCTCCAGATTATGCATAGAATGATTAGTGACAACATGTTTATATAGCATCACGAAATAACAGATTCAGCCTAGCAAAACAACAACATCATGAACCCTACTTAACAAGCTCGATACACTCACCACAAGTTATTACATGACAAGATAAGCATAGCATCATCAAGAAGATATGTTTGTAAAACAAACCAAGTCAAGAACAAGTCCATAGCATGCAAGGGTCAACTATAGCAACCTTGGCTAAACTGAATAACATGTAAACAATCTGCCAGGAAACATTTTGAAGCAAAAGTAGAGCACTCAAATGACATGCTAGACTACTCCATAATTGCAACAAAGGGCAGGGATGGATAGACAATAACCTATTGTTCAAAACACCCTTACTGAAGTATCTCAAAATGTGCATGGATCTCTCTGTAGCATCAAGTTTACATGGCATCAAAATAACAGCAGAACAGGGCTAAAATCAGCAACATCACGATGCCTAGTTTGCATGCTTGTGCTAGTCACCACATTAATCACAAAAATACATGGTAAGCACCTCTGTAAAGAAGACATAACATAGCTCAAAACACATGTAGACATCAACCTCATAGGATGCACACATCAATCATGGCAAAAATGACAAAAGAGCTCGTTCTGATAACAGCCAGCAGAAAAACATCATGAAGCACTCTTACAATGATGATTCAGGCATCTAGATGACCTCAAATGAATATGATGCAATAGAATGAAATGATGTACTCGTCGAGACGAACAATTTGACATATTACACGCGCAAAACGGAGCTACGAATGCAGAGTTACGGCATGACGAATATGGCATGAAAATTATTGCAGATTTGGGGACTTAGTCATTTTCAGAGGGGGGAAAGTCAACCTCGTGATCCAGATCGGGCACGGACTTTGAGGCGCCGGAGATGGACGTGGTGGTGGCCGGAGATGGGCGGGGAAGGTCTCCTCCGGCCGGATTCGGCCGGATCCGGCGCGGGGCGGCGGGAGGCGCGGTGGACTAGCTCCGGGGCGGCGCCGGAAGAGGTCGGGGAGACCGGAGGGAGCCGGGCGGGACGGATCCGGGCGGCGGCTCACCGGATCCGCGGCGGAGCGGCGGCGCACCACGCGGGAGGCGGCGACGGCGGCGGTTGGCACGGAGGCCGAGGGCGGCGGCGAGCGGAGGAGGCGGCCAGCGG